CTTATCCAAGATAATAATGAGACATTTTATCGACAGCAAATTAAAGATATTGTAGACTGGTGCAGCAGTAACAATCTTTACTTAAATGTATCTAAAACTAAGGAAATGGTTGTAGACATTCGGAAAGCTATAAATCCAAAATACCCTATATTTATTAATGATGTCCCAATCGACTTTGTTGAGGAATTTAAATTCCTTGGTATTTATATATCCAATGATATAAAGTGGCAACGTAACGTGCAAACAATTGTGAAAAGAGCACAGAAAAGAATTTATTTTTTGCGTAGGCCTAAATCTTTTGGAATGCATCCGACTATTTTGATGTCTTTTTATAGAGCAGTAATTGAAAGCATTTTAACATTATCTATAACCGTTTGGTTCGGGGGCGCTACCGAAAACGACTTATATGCCCTTAACAGAATCGTCAGGACTGCAACGCATATCATTGGTTTGGAACAAATGCCTCTGAAAACCATTTTCCATGATCGGCTTCTTAAAAAGGCAGAGGCTATTATGGGCGACCAAACTCATCCTGCCTCAAACCTATTCCAAATGATGCGCAGTGGTCGACGTTTTCGTTCATTGAAAGCCACTAAGGCTAGATTCAGGAATAGTTTCTTTCCTAGAGCAATTAGGGCTCTACATTGTAGGTAAATGTTCCATACTTTTGCACTTAGTTTCTTTGTTTGTGTTTGTTCTGCCTTTTGGAATGTGTTTTTACCACAGAGCAAAACAAATTTCTATGTTCTCCTGAACAATGACAATAAAATATGATTGATTGATGAATGATATAAACAATACAGAAAGCGGGCAAAATATTTGTTAAAAATGCAGATTTCATAGATGATATCTACGATCTTAATATATGCGAGTAAGATTCTAGAAGAGTCTTGCACTCATAAGATGTGAATAGATCTAGTACGCTTGTCCTCTCAAGAGTAATACAAAAAAAAGTGTTCAACACATCTTATGTGTTAAGTCAGATTTTCAATAGATAAATTATGTTTCACTACCCACTTTTATTTCATGTTTTTTTTATTTTCATAAAATTATTACACATGAAATAGGCCTACTATATAACATCAAGCTAACTGAAATACAGTAACCGTAGTTTAACATTATATTTTTTTATGAAATTATTAAATAGATTTGTTTTTTGGTGTTTTTTTTTTTTTTTTTTATAAATTTAATGCTAAAGATTTGCTCAAATATTTTGCTTTTTTTTTACTTAATATGCTGGCTTTTTTTCCCTCTTAACAATCAATTCATTAAAATTAATTTGGTCAATATAATATAGACGATAATAAATATTTTGGGATGTATGTCCACCTAGGGAAATGGTCCAGACATTACGATTACCGTTTAGATACTCTACCAACTGAGCTATGAAGCCAAGTGGTGTTTTTTTTTTTTTTTTTTTCGGGTTTTGCATAATACACAATGAATAATTGATTGATATTATCTTAATAGATTTGTTTTGTTTTCTCCAATAAAACTTAAATAATGATAAATAAAACTTGCTTGAATATTTTATACTTTTTCCCCCATTAATTGCTGTTTTTTTTTTTTGTTATCTTAAATTCTAAAACAGTCATTACAAAATTGATTAAGAAATTTATCAAATGTATATTACTCGATCGATCAGTCAATTAATCAATAAGCAATCAATCCATTACAATCGATCTTCATGGTCTTTATTTGTTTTTTTTTTCAGTCAGGTTATTGCATAATACGCACTGAATGATAGTAAAGCACATGAAAATAACTTTTATGGTATAGAGATAAAACACATTAAAACATATTAAAATAGATATATAATGTGTTATATGATAAGGATATATGTTCATATTTATTATTGGAAATTTGTCATAATTTTTGTTTATTTAAATATAACATTGCTCATATTTACATTTAATTGTAAATGTTGGAATTTAATCTTATTATACGTGAAAATTTATATGAACAAATTAGAATTGATTACCTTTTTCTACAATATTTATAGAGGGTAACAATTCAAGCGTATCCTCGAAAGTCATGTGATATCAGGGGCCATCTTACATAAATGACTTCGGGTTTAGTAGTAATTTAGCAATTTTTTTTTTTTTTTGGTGTCTAGAATTCTTCTAATTAAAGATAGTGGTTTTTAATATTCTCTATTCAATATTACTAGCGTAACCATCCTACACTATCGGTATTCAATTATTTATTATTGTTATGTATGTAGTAGTTATATAGCAACATCTATAATAGAAAAAAAATGCATTGAAATCACGATTTATTTTAAAATGATCATTAATTTGAAGAAGACATGTAATTTTAACCTGATATAACTATAAAGCTGTCAGTTTATACGTTCGATTAAAATGCTATTAGAAAAGTAACGACACCCACTGCAGTGAACTTAAGAGCATAGGTTTCTTTTCACCTTATCTCGTTTCATGTAGTGAAAATGATACATGTATCATCAGTAAATCCGACATTAACATATAATAATAATTAACAAGAGCAACAGCAGCAACAACAACAAAAATAATGGCCTAATTTGCTTTTATAGAACGGCGACACGGCATTAATTTGGGCTGCAAGATGGCGCGACGCACCCATTGATGTAATGGAGAGTATGCTAAAAAAGGCCACAGAAGAAAATATAGATCACCAGAACAAGGTGAGTCGAAA